CTTAATATATATACCTAAAAACACCAAATTAGGCTCAGTAGAATTTCTGAGATTCATATACCTTCCTCTTTTCTGTTCTTCTTTGTATATTGAGATACATGTATTTGTTGATATTTTGATGTTCAAAAACAAAAAAGAAGAAATAATAATGTGTGAGGGTCATGGCATTTTGGGAGATCCTCTGACATCCTTATGGTCAGTGGTTGGGTTTGTAGAGCCTAACCTTGTCTTAATATAGGTTTGCCCTGGGGCTCTTCTCTGCTCCCAGGGCTTCCTTTTCCTCCTTGAGCTGAGAATCATAAGTCACCCTCCCTTTTTCTTCCTCAGTGTCCTACTACCTAAAATGAGTCACACTGGACATAGAGAGATCCAAGGGAATATGGGCACCCAAAATGGGAAAGCCATAAGAGTATGTCCTCAAAAAGACAAAGAATTAAAGCTTCAATGCTACTGTAAAGCCGTAGAAACATCATAATCAGACTTCCACTGGAAGACTGGAGCACTGGAAGAGGAAAGGAAAAGAGAAGGAAATAGGGTCTCGCTACATTCTCCTGACCCAAGAAGAAAGAGGTAAGAAGAAACCAGTCTGGGATTTAGTATGTCCTCTTACCAGTAGGAATCAATAAAAGGACTGCATTTTCCCTTGAAATTCAGAGAGAAATGAGGATCCCACTTACATGGCAAGTCAAATCTGATCTTGTGGATTTCCAACCCTTCTCCCCTCCTGCACAGATAGTGGAGGGTGGTGACTAGAGAGATGAATTTAGAATTAGGGGGACTGAGGTCCAAATCCTGCCCCTGATACTGACTAGCAAACAGGGTGTCCCCGGGCAAGTCACCAAATCATCTTCATCCTTTAGATGCTGGCCATTTCCTTCCCAAATCCTTTAAATTCCTGAGTTTTGCTGAGCTTTTTCCCCTTCAGGTTAATTTTCTTTTCAAGACACATTCAGAAATGATTGGTGCAAAATATCTACTGAAAAATAAAATTGAATTATAAAAGGAGACCAAGAAAAATACAGCCAGGTTTCTGGGCTTTTCTGTTTGTTTCTGGGACCATTCTGAGAGCCTCTCCACTCTTAGGGATAGGAAAGCATTGGTTTACTCTCATGCACTGTGGGATCCATTCCAAACTAGTCTGGAAAAGGTGACAGTACGCTGGTATTTAAAGAGTAGATCAGTGTTTGAATCCAAGCTTGGACACTTCCTAACTGTATTCTCATAGGATAATCAATTAGTCTCTCAGAGTCTCAGTTTACTCATCTATCACATGGGGAAAATAATACTTCCTCCCCCTATTTCGCATGGGCTGTTGAGAAAAAGGAGTTCTTTGGTGATTTCAAACCTCCTAAGAATGGGAGTTCTAGGCTAGAAATCAAGGATTTGGAGCTGTAAGGAATTTTAGAGGGATTGAAGTTCAACAAGGACTCATTTTCCTTCCCAATCCCTTTCAAATCTTCCTTGGGATTTCTCCTGCCCAACAACCCTGTGCTGCAGTCATGGCAGGGAGAATGGGGACACTGCTCACCCACAACCACCACTAACTAATAGAAAACAATGAAGAATAATCAAAGCCTTTCCTTCACTAATGCTCTTTCCAGCTCTTAAAGCATGTTCTGTTGCCCCTCTTATCTCATGTCAGCCTCAGGTCAGTCTTAAGATATAAACAGGAAGAACTTGAATGCATTGCCCAACATCACACAACTCAGCAGAGGCCAAGTGGGAGTACCAAGGAGGATTGGATGCATATCAGCAATTTGCTTGTGCTTTAGTGGATAGAATGCTGGGCCTAAAGTCAGGAAGACTTTTTCTAGGTTCAAATCTGGCCTTAGACACTTACTAACTGTGTTACTCTGGGTAAGTCACTTAGCTCTGTTTGCCTCAGTTTCCTTTTCTGTTAAATGAGGTAGAAAAGGAAATGGTAAACCACCCCAGTATCTCTGCCAAGAAAACCCAAAACGTGGTAATGAACAGTCAGACACAACTGAAATGACTCAAAAACAACAACAACATATTGATCTTCTTCAAAAGGTGATTGAAATAAATTGTCACTATCACGTCCCTTGTGGGTGGTCACCGAGCCACTGTATAAAGACCTCCATGGGAGAGAACACCCACCACAGCTTGATGCAGTCTAGTCCAATTTGGACAGCTATAATTGTTAAGAAGTTTTTTCCTAATGTCAGGGCCAAATTTAGGTCCTTACAAATTTCACCCCTTGTCCTTGATTCTATCCATGGGTACAAATTCCAACTCTCCAGAAAATATACCAGCTAATAGCTGAGAAATTGTGGCTGACATGGCTCTTCTCTTCTTCCCCCTGGCCATCCCAATTTCCTTCAAATCATCCTCTTGTGACTCTAAACACTTCATATTGTTGGTTGCCTTCTTCTAAACATCCTCCAACTTCCAGATACTCTTCTTATACTGTGGATACTGACCAAAAGATTCCTTGTGTGGTCTTATCAGATAAGAACAGCAGGAATATCACCTCTCCATTCCTGGAAGTTTGCTTCTCAACATGGAAGAAGATGGGATTTTTGGAATCAACCTGCTGACTCAAAGTGAGATGGCAGCTCACGGAACCCACAGAGCTTTTACAGAACCTTTGTTGTCCAATGTTGCTATATCAGTGTTATATGATAAGAGCAGAACTCCCTCTCCTGAACCCCTCATCCCCAAAAAACATTGAAACTACAACAAAACAATGTGCCTTTCAAAAGTTTTATTCTGAAATCTTTGTGCTACAGATAATCATAGAATCCAACAGATGACCTAAAGGACTCTAAGGAAGAGAGGCCAGTCTCCTAATAGGGGTCCCCATGGGGAACAATTATACTTCTAGAAGTGCAAATAGCAAGAACATATACCCAAAGCTGCTACCAAGACATTTACATAACGAAATTTCACCAGTAAGAATAAATAATAATGGTTGAGAGGATCTCCAGAAGGCTGCAGCTTGGGGAGATTGTATCTGACTGTGGAGTTCCTCAGCTTTCCCTTTATTTTTTTTAAATTTTTTAATTTATTTATTTTTAGTTTTCAGCATTCATTTCCACATGATTTTGAGTTCCAAATTTTCTCCCCATTTCTCCCTACACCCACCCCAAGATGGTGTGCATTCTGCATACTCCTTCCCCCACTCTGCCCTCCCTTCTATCCACCCCTCCCTTCTCTTGTCCCCTTCCCTTTCTATTTTCCTATAGGGCAGGATCCATTTCCCTTTGAGATTCATTCTTCCAGGCACCTGAGCCCCTCAGTTCAGATCCAGATCTTCTACATAGCTCTGAACCCAGGCATCACTGGGGTTGGCACACACCTGCCGGCCTCTTTTGGTCTGAAACCTGGGGAGGGAGAGGAGGAGAGATGAGAAGTCACAGATGGAGAGATGGTTCTCTGTGCTCCCCCCGTGTCCAGCACTGACCACTTCCTGCACATCTCTGCAGGGCCATGAGGAAAAATCCTCACTTCTAGCAATATCTCTCAGGCCCTTCAGATTCTCTCTAGCGACCTGTCCCGGGGAGAGCCTATCTGGAAGCCTCACTGTGGCATATAATCCCTGTTGCTGCAGCTGATCCCTCCCCCTTAGTTGAGTAGCTCCCCTCTTGCTCCATGGAGAACTCAACTTTGGTCAGGGATCACTTCTGGGACTTCTTTCCCTGGTAATCACCATTCCCCTGAGTTGCCTGATTCATCCATTTCACCAAGGTGCCAAATGACCCCATTCTCTCTCCCTGGATCCCCTCAAGAGATTCAGCGGGTAGATACTCACAGCACAGCTGGCTGGGGACACAGGCTGCTGGTCTCATAGTAGTCCATCACAAATTTTCTGGGGATCTGTTGGTTCACATAGGAGAAGCAGCAGGAGGTGGGAGGATTAGAGCCCACTGCAAAGAAAGGAGAGGCATGAGATTAATGAGGTTTTATGTTCACACCTTATGTTCCTTAGCTGCTGTCTCCATCCCAGGGACATACGCTACACCAGGCACACTGGGGATGTGATCCTTCCTGTCTCCCTTACCCTGCTTCCCTCCAGTACCAGGTGTGATTTTCATTGTGTCTGGAAAAGGATCAGACCTCCTGTTCCCATCCCCATAGGGGATATTTTGAGGAAAATTGCACTGTGGAAGCTAGAAAGGATGTCAGAGATCTGCCCATCCAATTCCTGACTTTGCTGATCAAGCCACTTGCTGGAGATCACTTGGGTAATTAGTGGCAGAGCCAGAATGGGAACTTAGGCAGACATACAATCCAGTCCAGTGTGCTCTCTGCTGTCTTATCCCATCTCCACGTAACATTTAATCAGCATATACTTTCAAGGGCAGGTTAATGCCTTCAAGTCCAAAAGGTATAGACATCCTCTCTGCTCCTGCTCCTGCACCTCTCTACCCTCACAGATCCCTATAAGCAGTCTACTCTCATCTCCTGTCAGGGTTCTATCCAACTTATAACCACAGTCTAGACACAGCCACAGAGGGAAAGAGAAAGCTCACTTACTTGGTACAGAGGATGCCAGAGAGCTGAAGGCCATGACCATGAGGATGAAGAGGGCAGCCACAGAGACCTTCATGATCCTGAGAGGAGAAAGGAGTTTGGAGGGGCAGAGCTCAATCTAAGACTCTGAAGGTCTGTGTCTCTGTCTCATGTGTGGGCTGTCTTTTTATAGAGGTTTCTGGGAGCATCCGAAGGGATGGAAGGAACATAAAAGGTGTGGAAATTCCTGTGGAGAGCTGATGTCATGGTAGGGGTTCTAAACAAAAAAATGAACCCAGGAAGTGCAAGGCTGGTGTCAAGGACTGAGTTTCTATCCCCCAGGGCAGCTTCATCATGGAGGAAAGAGGAGAGGGGATGGAGAGAGGAGAAGTGTGCATGTGGTGGGGCGGCAGGGTGCAAAGGGGGTTGTAGTGAGCAAGCTAGCAGCAGAGACAGATGAAAACATGCAAAAACAAATAGGAAAGAGAGTTTTGCTGAACATTGATTTGAAGGAATATTCAACAAGAGCTTCATACTGCTTTGATATCATAACTGCCTTGACCATAAGTTGATGATTTAGACTTAGAACGGTGCTGGGTGGTTTAGTTGAACATTCTCATTTTCCAGCTAAAGAAAATAGTGTCTAGAGAGAAGTGACTTATCCAAGGTCCCAGTGGTAGTCAGAAGCAGATCTTGGATATTCTCCCAGGTCTTTTAAGTTCACATCTTTATACTCACAGAGAATGGTCCATGCAGAGGAAACATCCAGGGTTCTTCAAGGGCACTCTTAGATGGTTTTTGTGCAGATGGTTGCCATGAGCAGGTCCATGAAATGAGGACTTCTAGTCATGGTCCATCCCTTCATCTGCTTTGTTGTGTGATGATTTTAACACCTTACATTTGTGTATCACTTTAAGGATACGAAAGATTTTGACATTGATTATCTCAAATCATCTTCACAAAAAACTTACGAAGTAGGCAGAGTTGGTATTCTCATCTCTGGTCTATTTATGAGCCTTGACTTAGAGCAAATCTTCCCAACTTGGCAGTGCGTAGGAGTCAAAAGTAAAGAAGGTAAACTTCTTCAGGCTACAGATAGGTTTTTAGTGGTTCACTTTCTAAGTACATGTATAATTAAGGATTAAACTATTTTTGCAAACAAACCATTTCAGAAAAGGGGGATTTCCATTAGTATCACTTAATTACACTTATTACTTAAGATTTTTATTTGTCATGAAATCACATTAATGTTCAAAAAATTATTTTGCTAAACACTACAAGTTTTAATACAATTTTCAGGTTTTCTTACTGTTGACATTTAGTTTATGAGATGTATTACACTTCTTGTCAGTACTGTTCACTGCACGGTCATATGGGACAAACGTATATTCTCAAAAGCACTTTTTTAATCGGGACACAATCCAGAAACTGCAATTAGCAAACCCTTCTTTATAAAGGCACCTTCAATAAAAGACTTTCCAACAGTAGCAATTTCTTTAGAAATCTGAAAACTAACCTTAGTAGCCATCTCATTTTCTGAGTGTACTGTCTTGAAAAACTGTTGTTCCTCACTGAGATTTTTCAACAATTTGGATGCTTTAATTTGTTTTTCCTTGGTGTCCAATTTGCTTATGTCAGGATGTTTTGATTCAAAATGGCGATGAAGATTGTATTCCTTCAGAAGGCTGTTACTTCTTGGCAAACAAGGCAAAATATTTTGTCTCTCATATAAGTAAACAACTATCTGTTTATTTGTCCACTCTAGATTAAACACTCTATGTTCTGATTCAATCTTCCCTCTCTTTTTATCACTCATTTTATAAAAGCACCCCCAAAACTTTAATTTTAGTACCAAAAAATCTCCACAACAAAGGTTCGCATACAAAGAAATACTGAACTGAGTATCTGACTTTGGAGAGAGTATCAGACACTCATGTAACTTGGAGGGCGGCCACACAGTGAGGGAGGGGCAACAGCCCTGGCATTGTTGACGCTCATTGCATAGTGGGCGGCAGCTATGTTGGCGCATGGCTGCATTCACTTTGTCCCTATTCAACACCAGGACCAAAAACATAGCAAAAAGATATGACTCTCAGGCTCCTCTCAGACTGGAGACAGACTGATGATGGTTGGTAGTATTGGCTCACATGACAAACAGGAGAGAGTGTGCAGTGGCAACCCACCCACCAAGTTACATATCCAATGCAATAATGACTAGTGGAAGGCAGGTTAAACGAGGCAGGGACAAAGTACTCGTTACATCTTTACTTTCTTTACATCCTCTATATTTTTCATGGGCCACCCAAAATCCTCTGCAGGCTATATGTTGTACAGGCTTGACTTAGAGAGAATAGAGTCCTAAGCTTGAAGTTACAAGACCTGTGTTCAAGTCCCATCTCTCAAACTTTTTAGCTGTGGAATCTTTAACCTCCCACTGCCCCCAGCCAACACTCTAATCAGATCATTTGTAGAATAGTTGCTATATAATTACCACTTATTATTAAATGGCTTGTCCCAGTTCTAATAACCAGGAAGTGACAGATTCAGGATGCAACCAGAGGCCTTCTGACTTCAGGCAGGGTTTGACAAAATTATGGGGCAGACCCCCATGGGAGAGGAAGCAACCTGAGACACTCTGGGGAAGAGTGTACATATAATACCATGACATTTTTAAGTACTGAACTATCATGTATACCATCACATTTTTTTTTATCCAATGGAAATGAAATTCATTTTAAAGAAGAGAAAATAAGATGTGGGGGGAAGATTGAGATGGGTGTGAATACAATGTGACTATTTAATGGGTTCAGAAGTGGTGGACTAGGACAGGCATCTCCTTCAATTTCCCTGAAATTTGTTTGAGATGTAACTTTCATATCCAGGTCTGGAATCAGCAAATCTAAGACAAGATCCAGGATCTGCCTCTCACTGAAATCACCTGGACCAAGGCCCCTCTCTTTGGGCCTCAGTTTCTTTAGTTGTAAATGGAACGTGTTGGACAAGACAGTTACAGTATGGTAGTATGAAAGCCATGCTGAACAATCCTTCACATCAAAGGTGACCATAACTCTCCTTCCTATTTCTCTCTCCCCTTGCGTTTTTGGCATCAGTCTCTGCTGCTGTCTCAAGTTTATTAACACCCCCACAGCACCCTTGTCATGCAACTACACACACATCTCTCCTCTCTCTACCCACTCTCCTCTTTCCCAATTGATGAAACTGCCCCGAGGAACCAAACCCCAGCCCTTGACAGAGCCTGGCATTTCCTGGGTTCCTTTTCCAGTTTCCAACTCCCACCAGGACACATGTACCTTCTTGGGGTATAGGTTTGTGAGATATTGGTCTAAGTTTGATTTCTCTCTGGCTGCTTTCCAGGTTTACCAGTCATATATAGAATGCTCACACAAGTGGGTGATTTCATGGGTTTGCTAAACACTCTGCCGCCATGTTCTTCTGCTTCTCTTTCTGAAGGAAGTAAACAGAACCTGGAGAAGAGCTAATAATAGGACTGGAGTATTGTCAATGAAAACAGATTATAATGGCTTGAGAATGCTGATCACTGCAAAGAGTAATCAATCGTTCCAGCAGAAGACTGAGGGTGAAGCCAGTTTCCCACATTTTATTGGGGAAGTGATAGAAGAGAGATGCCAAATGAGACAAACATTTTCAGCTCTGGCCAACACTTTTGCTTGGTTTCTTTATACACAATCTATTATATAGGAGGATGGCTTTGGGGAGATGGATAGCCAGGCAAAAATAGGAGAAATAAAGGAAAGGGCAACAATGAAAAATTAAGGGGGAAAAGCAATTCTAGAAGGAGACACAAGCAAGTAAGGGAGGTGATTTCCCATTATGGTAAACTTAATATAACCTAAAAATGCTAAACTATACTCAGTAGAAGTTCACAGATTCATACACCCTTCTCTTTTCTGTTCTGCTTTGAACATTGAGATACATGTATTTGTTGATATTTTGATGTTCAAAAATAAAAAAGAAGAAGTTAATAATGTGTGAGGGTCATGGAATTTTGGAAGATCCTCTGACATCATTATGGTCAGTGGTTGGGTTTGTAGAGCCTAACCTTGTCTTAATATAGGTTTGCCCTGGGGCTCTTCTCTGCTCCCAGGGCTTCCTTTTCCTCCTTGAGCTGAGAATCATAAGTCACCCTCCCTTTTTCTTCCTCAGTGTCCTACTACCTAAAATGAGTCACACTGGACATAGAGAGATCCAAGGGAATATGGGCACCCAAAATGGGAAAGCCATAAGAGTATGTCCTCAAAAAGACAAAGAATTAAAGCTTCAATGCTACTGTAAAGCCATAGAAACACCATAGTCAGACTTCCACTGCAAGACTGGAGCCCTGGGAGAGGAAAGGAAAAGAGAAGGAAATAGGGTCTCACTACATTCTCCTGACTCAAGAAGAAAAGAGGTAAGAGGAAACCAGTCTGGGATTTAGCATGTCCTCTTACCAGTAGGAATCAATAAAAGGACTGTATTTTCCCTTGAAATTCAGAGAGAAATGAGGATCCCACTCACATGGCAAGTCAAATCTGGCCTTGTGGATTTCCAACCTTTTCCCCCTCCTGCACAGATTAGTGGAGGGTGGTGGCTAGAGAGATGAATTTACAATCAGGAACACTGAGGTCCAAATCCTGCCCCTGATACTGACTAGCAAACAGGGTGTCCCTGGGCAAGTCACCAAATCATCTTCATCCTTTAGACCTTTTCTCTTTCTAAATCTCTAAATTCCTGAGTTTTGCTCAACTTTTCCCCCTTCATTCTAAAAACTTTTTTTCAAGACAAGAGAATAATCAGAAAGGAATGCTGTAGAATATCAGCTGAAAAAAAAATAAAACTGAATTACAAAAGAAGACCAAGAAAAGTACAGTCAGGTGTTAGGGCTTCTCTGTTTGTTTCTGGGGCCATTTTAAGAACCTTTCAACTTTTAGGGAGAGGAAAGTATTGATTCACCATCATTTCCTGTGGGGATGATTCCAGATTAGTCTGGTAGAGTTGACAGTATGCTGGTATTCAAAGAGTACAGCAGTGTTGGGACCCTGCCTTGGACACTTCCTAGCTGTATGCTTATGGGAAAAT